CCGCGCCAAGATGGCGAGAGCCGGCCCCGCCCCCCGGGGCCACGCCCATCGCCCCGCCCCCGTGAGCATGGCCACGCCCATCGCCACGCCCACCGCGAGCCGCTCCCCGAAAAGCCCCAAACCCCCACAAAATCTCCTCAAATCCCGACCCCGGAGCCGGCACCGAGCACGGGCTATGAACAACTCTGCCGCTGTTTATTGCAGAAAAGTGAAACTGTACAAAATGGCCGTCAGCGGCGGCGGGGCTCAATCCTCTTCCTCCTCCTCCTCCTCATCCTGGTTGATCTGGAAGTAGCGCAGCTCGTAGCTCTCCTTGCTGTTGGCCACCACGCGCAGCCAGTCCCGCAGGTTGTTCTTCTTCAGGTACTTCTTGGTCAGGTACTTGAGGTACCTGCGGGAGAGGCACGGCTGACAGCGGTGCCCCTCTGCCCCTGCCAGCCCCCAGGTGCCATTGTGGCTGATAAACCTTTATTCCTGCAGCTCCCACCTCCAGCAGGACCAACACAGCCCGCTGGCCACCTCCCAGCAAAGCTCCTTCCAGGAAACACTGCAACCAGGGAATGGCTGGCATGGATGCTGGGAGATCTGTGAGCCCAGTGCTGTGCACCCACCCCAGAGGGAATCTCCACTGGGATGCTGGACACCCGCTGCTGGGATGTGCCAGCTGTGGCAGCAACGTGGGGCAACAGTGTTGGGAGAAAGGCAGGTGCTCACAGGGCAGGGCACGCCCTCCACCCACACAGCTCTGCCTTTCCCAGCCAGCTCCTGAGCCAGCTCTGCCGTGGCACAGCCTGGTGTGCCAGTGCCAGCCCAAGGACAGGCAGCCTGGAGCACGGGCAGAGAGCCAGAGCACCACGGCACGAGGGGAACAATGTGGCACAACCACACTTTGCTGATGTTGGCCCAAGGAGGACCAAAACCCCACAAGATGAGGGGGATTTTGGTCCTCCTGTCTGCAGACACCCCCAAAGTGTCCCCTCAGCCCCTTCTGGCTGCAGGCCCCCTCAGTGCCCAGCCCAGGACCCTTCCCAGCTGGAATATCAAACACATTCCTGTGCCATACATCATTTGGGAAGAGCAGCCAGTCAGGCAGCACAAACTGCAGCACGGCTCCCGCACTCTGACACCTTTCCCTGGCAGCCCCTCCTGCCCAGGGCCCAGCAGGAGCGGCGTGTCCCTCCTCACCTCTTGGAGAAGGGCACCTCTGACGTGACGGTGATCTTGCTCTTGCTCCTCTCGATGGTCACCACGCCCCCGCCCAGGTTTCCCGCTTTGCCGTTCACCTTGATGCGCTCCTGCAGGAACTGCTCCTGCGGGAGGAGCGCAGCGTCAGCCTCCACACGCACGCTGCCCCCAGAGCTCGGGACAGCCCCTTCCCCAGGCCAGGCCGTGCTGGACATGTCCCTGCCCCCCAAGGGACAGCCAGGACAGCGGGGTCAGGCTCCCTGAGCTCCCTCAGCCCCACTCGCCAAGGCCCACGCTGGAGTGCAGTGGACGGGCACAGGTTCATGCTGACAAACTGCAGCATCCCTGGCCTGGCTACATCCCTGCCACGACACAAACTTACCCAGCAGAGACAGACAGGGAAACTGCCCGTGGACAGGGACAACGCTTGTGCTTTAACTACAAAATGTTCCAAACCCAGCCTCACCCCCAGCCCCAGCACTCCCTGCTCCTCTGCCCATGGGATGGCCTCAAGGCAGCAGGGCAGAGCCGAGGGATGGCTCCAGGGACGTTCGGGGCCGCTGGGAGCGGAGCATCACCCTGGAAGGGCCCCGAGGGCGGCGGAGCCACCACGGCTCCCGGGGAGGCCCCGAACTCACGAAGTTGGCGGCGTCCATGATGCCATCCTCGACGGGGTGCGTGCAGTCCAGCGTGAACTTCAGAACCTGCTTCTTTTTCTTGCCACCTTTCGCCGCAGGCTTCTTCTGCTGCAGGGGGAGAGAGCGGGACAGGGTGAGCGAGACACAGAGGGACCGGGGGTGAGCGGGGTGGGCAGCGCCGCGAGGGACGGCGGGGAGGGGCCGGGCCGAGCTGCGGGCTGCGGGAGGCGAAGGGCCCAGGCCCGGATGGAGGCTGCGGACAGCGCGGCGGGACCGGGGCCCGCCCGCACGGCGCGGATGGGCG